GATCAAACTTAAATGTGTACTGCTGTTCTCCGTAAGCGTTTCAGCACGTCCATTTGTAGTCGCTGCATTGTAAATTAATTGGGCATTCATGTTATGATCCTACATTGTATAATTTTACTGGAAAAGCGACTTCTGGAGAAAATGTAAAACAGATCAAGGCTAAATGGTGGCAATTTCACATTCGTGTTATCTCGCCGGAATTGTCTTTCACATATGTACGTGGAGTCGCACTACATTCGGGCTAATACAATAATATACCACAAAAACAAACCACACAAAAATTATTGAATTGAAAATTTAGATAATAAAGTAACTACTAAAGACTATTAATGAAATACGATGAAAAACGTCGAAAGATGTAGTAATCGAAGACAGAAGCATCAAGGACGAAAATAACATACAACATAATGAACTTACTGTAGACTCTCTGAAACTCAAAAGAGAACTGAATCTAGCGATCCATGAATTAAATCGGAGAAAGTCTCTCTCAGAAATGAATTCTACTGCTACCACTGTACTGTTTGCTTATCGCTAAATCTGCCAGGTCTGCGGTAGCACTGTAATCGCCTAGAGAAATCTTTATTTGTGTTTTATAGTGTGGCAACCAGGTGGGTGCAACTCGAATATGGAAACTTTTACACCCTTACAGCGCTACCTATAGTTGATGGGGACAGAAAAGTTAACCTTATTTATACAATGTAAATAAATTAATGGCTATTTTATTTTTCACGTATTTCAGAGTGATTTATCTCCTTACTTACTGTTTAATCCTCTTTTATTAAGTGATATCATTGCCCCAGTGAAAGAGCATAATTCGTGTAATAGTGAGTCTCACAGTAATTAGGAAGAATATTACGACCGCATATGTAATAGCGCTGGCTATGGTTGAGGCATGACTTTAAAAAATTAACCTTTTTAAATAATGCCTTTACGCTATATAATTGTAATTGTATTTATCATTTTTGTCAGTGATCAGCGCATTCGCGTTTTCGCTGAAAAGAGGGGGACTAACGTGTGCCGTCGTCATGTTTAGAATATTTAACGTTGAGACTGACGACACTGGTGTTGACGCTTCACGAGTGACGGTGATATTTCTTGTGAGAGAATAATTTCTTAGTTTATATATAACAGAATAGCACTTTCTGGTTTTTAAATAATAATTTAATTCCGCAGACAAAAATAGTTCGCATGTGCAACAATCGATTTGAATCTGTGGCATTCAGTAAACTTTATTAAACGTCGCAGAATAAATTAAAAGAAACTTGACAGATTTTACAAAATCTAGACATTGCATTTAGCTGAATATTGGGCCTAATTCACCCTAAAATTCCCGCCAGGGGGGGGAGGAGGGAAGAAATTCTCCACTGGTTGAGAACCCCTGCCATAGGGTGATCAACAGCAGACACCGTACGAACAACTATGTAGGAGCAGCTCATTGACGAATTCAAATAGTGTTTGAAATGTCGCTACTGTTGGTATGGAAACTAATCGGAATGTGTATGAAAAGATATCTATTGTAAATGACTATCATGTAAATTATCAGACACTATTACTTATTTTTGCGTTAGGGCACAATACGAAATGGCACAATGATGTATATTGCATATAAATTTTGCTGTTTAAATAAAGTTACTTTGAAAATCAGCTCGTTGCTCTTCCATGAAAAGTTGACTTCAAACTAAAGTATATTCACAAATTTTGTGAAATAATTGGGCAAGTTGACAACTAATCTGATACGTTATTGTGCTAATAATGAATATCCGATAGTGAAAGAAATCTTAGAAATTCATTGGTTTGACGGAAGTTTACCATTGTGACTCACCGACAGCTTCTCAGAGATATATAATTTGGTGAGTTAGATATTACAGTTGATCGAGATGACCACAGTCCAATCATATAGAATCAAACGCATTACGCGTTGATGACTACTATCGATCGACGTCTAATCGTCCCATTTCGACTCGATTATTTATAATGAGGTCAAAAAGTCACTATATCAGTAGGTCAATGGGTTACTTGGTCATTTGGTCAGTAGTCAAAAGGTCTAAAGGTACGTAGGTCATTACGTTATTTGTAGTTGCTTTGTTACCGTCATATGAAATCAACTGACTTAAGGAGCAAAGTTACCCAGATTAGTCGCTAGAAATTTCAATTCTGACTGCATTAAGCAAAGTTCACCACTGTGCCGAGAGTCACATTTTTTTCCGCAGGCAAGTCTTCCCCAACGATTGTTCTCCCACGCGTCTGCGCCAGTGTGCAGTTCTACAGAAAGACGTTTTCAATACGTTTTCATTCTCTGTTTGGAGCGTTTTTTCAAACCATGCCATACGCTGGTTTCTGATTTCACCTGATAGTTTCTCAGACTGGTGTTCGCTAGCAATTGCTCTTTTGTGACCAGGTGCTGGTATCTCGTTTTGAGGATGCTGTGCAGACACCTTTGTTGTGAGCTAATGAGCCTCATGATGCATGAAGACGACAGATGTTTCAAGACTATATTTAGGCACCGCGAAAACGGCTATCGAGCAGTGTCGTGCTGAATGCTGATCTTCGTGTCCCTTGTGAGAGTCTGATTCTTCCTTACGTTATACAGCTCGGCGTAATTTGCTGATGCTTGTCCGAAGGGCTGATTCACTTTAGAATCAGTCTATGGATCGTTAATTTGAAGATACTTGAAATGGCTTACTTCGTCCACAGTAACGTAATTCCTTAATATCATTGGACTGTCAGTCGCGGCAGGCGCTCACAGTCTTCGTCATTTTGTTATTCACTTCTAGCTCAACTCTCATAGCGTGCACTCAGCATGACACTGCTCGATTTTTAGCGAGTGCCTGTAGACCTTTTACGGTGTCGCTCAACAGCACAGTGTCATCATCGCCGTACTCAAGGTCCGCTAGGAATAGCGCCAGGTTTCTTGAGCTGCAACGCTGAGAAATGTCGATTCTCTTTGTCATTTGGAACGACGCACTTCGGTAAAACGCATAGGGATGATGCTGAATAACAACGGAAAGAGAACTTTGACGAACCCCACTGGTTGAACTATTCCGAGAGGGAATCTTCAGTTTGGACGACGTATTTAGTCTGCCTGTACGAATCTTAGCTCAGTTTCATCATTGCTTGTTGAATTCTATAGTGTAAAATAACACAGTGCATTGTTTGGCGATGAACTGAGTCGAAGTCTCCTAAGATCCCACAGTCGTGTACCAGGGAAGTTGAAAGCCTTGGCATTGCTCGATTATTCGAACACAAAGGTGTGCTTCTCCGCGCATGTGTGCCAGCTTCGCAAGCCTTTTTCATTAGTTCGCAGCGAACAATCGATGGATTCCATTAGTCGTCTACGAATGGTTTGCACGAAAGCTTCTCCAACAGACAGGAGGACGATTCCTCGATAGTTGGTACATTCGATTCGATTCCCACTGAAGATCTTGATTATTACGCCTTTCTTCCAGTCTTCGGGGATCGCTAAGTTGCGCCCAGATTCGGTTGGAAGCCACGTGTATGTAGCGAAGGTTTTTACATAGGTTTTTGACTTCGTACTTCAGAATTGCCATTCGAATTGAGTAGTGTCCTCAGGACTTTCAGTTTCAGCTGAGTCGTATCGCATCTCGGATTTCATCGATCGATGATGAAGTGTATGTAGTGAATATTTGGACCTCTTCCAACTTTCTTTTCCATTTGGAGATTTACCGAAGGACCAGGTCTATTGAGGAGCTGTACTAAATGCTCGGCCCATCGTTTCAGCTGGCCATTAGGTTCTTTTGACGGCTGGTTGGACTTACTATGTAGCAAGCCGTGGTATGCGTTTGTTTGCCAAGTTTGGTAATGGCATTCACCTTGCTGTATACGGCATGAAATTTTCCAGCATCCTTTGACAGGCGTCTTTTCAAACTTAAGCGCTTCATGGTCCAGTCACCATTACTTGTGGTTGCGGTAACTCTTTTTGACGGAAAACGATACTCTCTGTTCTTCTTGTCATCAGAGTCATTTAATGACGCCAGCTTCGCTATAGTTCTTTTGTGATGAGGACTTAAAGCTTGTGTCGTGACCTTGGGCCTCATCGTCTCCAAACTACTGAAGTCGATAGGCTTGACAGCGCAGTCCACGATGCGTTCTATAAGGCAATTGTGGAACAGCTTCTGGTCATGGAAAATGAAAACAGTGGTTCGTCGCAGGAAATTCGTTTGCTGATTTCCATCTGGAGCACTTCACGTAGACGGGGACCTTCAACTTCTCCGTATTAAAGCAGGTGTTTCCGCATTTCTGACATGTTTCTCCAGTTGGCGCCAGAAGAATACAGAATTTAGCGATCACTAGGAAATGGTTACTTCAAAAGTCGGCATCTCGTTTCTTCCAAATGTCCTGTAGGGTACTTCACCATTTTCCTCTGATCAGCATTTGGTTGATTTGGCTTGTGAAGTGACTTCCTGGCACTTTCCACATCTGTTGTTGGATGCGACGATGCGGTAACATCGCCCGCCGATGAAGACGCCGTGGCACAAAGGTCTAACTTACGATCCGGCTGTATTTGACAACACCGCCGACATGTGAACCTAGCACACAGGACCAGTTGTGATGGTCAGCCCCGATCTGGGCTTAGAGGTCACCGGCGACGATCGATAATTAATATCGTGACAAGGAGGAAGAACCGCATGAAGGCAGGTGAGGAACTGCTGTTTCACCGGCTCCTCGACAACATTGGCAAGGGCGTCATACACGGCGACAAAATTTATCCTGACGTGTGTCGTTGTGAATCGCAACGATGTTGGCTTGTCACTAGATGACAAAGTCACTAGGTCAAACGGTGCGTAAATCACCAGATCAATAAGCCATTATTCCACCAGCTCAATAGGTCGTTATGTGGGTCGCTAGTCCAGTATTTTACCAGCTAGTGGTCAGTTGGTCAGAAGATCACTCTGTCAGTAAGTTAATAGATTACAAAGTCAGTAGGTCACGAGTTCTGCAGGTTAAATTGCGAAATCTGACTAAATGTCCACTGATCTTTTGGCTTCTTTACGGAAATCGAAATGAGAACATCTCTTAAAGTGCTCCTGGTCACAAGAAAATTATTGCTTTAACCATCAAAATAATTTGAGAGGTGCTTAACACACTAGTGATCGATTGCCATGAAGGCCTTTCACGCACATAATAGCAAGTAGGTTTTGCGATATGCTGAAAAATTCAGCTATCGAAAAGATTAAATGCCTATCAACACCACTGGTTCAAATAAAGCCATGGTATTCGCAGTTTTGCAAATGATTAATGGCTTAAGATTACGGTGCAAATAGCTCAATTTGTTGACGTATCAGATTTGAGTGTCTATCTATCATGTAGAACATGGACCATATGCGATCGATTAATCAGTTATAAACTCTGGCTATTACTGTAAAATTAATTGTTTCTCTGTGTCGAACACTAAACTAGAGCCAAAAGAAAGCACTCTGAGAAAAGAAATGACGCTGTTCTTTCTGAAATTGATTTACAGTAATCTACAAATATGAAGGGAATTAGCTTGACAATTTTTTCACATAAAACTGCAAAACGCTCCTCGTTATCCCAGTTTCAATTTGAAGAGCAACAGTTAAACGCGAGAACAGCTCAGTGTTTCTGCTGACCAGATCTTCGCTGGCGCTGACCACTTTCATCGAAGTCTGGTCATTGATCGCGTCCGTGGAAAAGGTGTGGTTTTCAAACTGCAGATTCAGTTTGGTCGCGTTCAGACTGTAACTTTCGAATGCGACCGTACAGTTGATGATCCCGTTATCTTGATATACCGACGTCAGACTCAGCGGACAGCGGTAACAGCCAACCTGTTGACTACTCCACAGTAGGTGACCTTCTGGCGACAGTGACATGTAGCCTTTAATCGAAGTGTCCATACTCAAGGCGTTCGGTGAAAACAGATCTGGTTTCCATAACAGACTTGGCAACGCCACTTTGATATCCTCATTTCCCTAAAATAAACGTGATGAAAACTTAAGGTATCAGTAGCCATATTTGTCATTTCACGCAAGCTGTATTTTGAAAAATCATGTTGATTTTGTCTTTTAAGTAAAATAATTAAGTACGTTTCTTTATTGAAACTAATTAATTGCGTATAAGAACATAAGAAATCAATGTATCGAGCGATTACTGACATTATTTTGTCTATAAAATGACAAAAGCTGTTAGACAGAAGTCAGCTATGATTGTGTACAAGTTTTCTTTAAACATAGAACATTGCTTAAGACCAGAGTGAATGGAATCTCTTCTGCTGTTGGCGACGTTTCCTGACTTGGTGATCCAGGGAACAAGAAGTAATGAAGTAACGACTGCGAGAATGGGCGACAAGTACTTAAATTCTCTTGCATTTGCGGATGATAGCGTATTGCTGGCACATGTGATATGGGTCTCTCGGTTAACCTCGATTATGGTGAAAAAGAGTATGAAAATTTGTCTAATGTCTGTTTGACTCTTGACACTGAAGTTGTAGAAAAGGTGCCAGCACACCTGCATCTTGGGATTATTACTGGCTCTAGGCAAGATCTGCAAGGGCAAAGTTGTTGACTGTAATAAAATGTTGCGAATATACCGGACTTTACTTCTGAACATCTTGAGATGGTAAGACTTAGCAAGCCTCATTTAAAACTGGAAGCGATGAAAATTGGGAATTAAAATTTAAGAGCCAAGTGGCACGACATGTAACACACGTTGTTGTAAGATAGAGATTAGAATATCTTACCAAAGTTACCCACTGGTTGCAGACAAAATGTTTAAGATGGTTGGGCCATTGCCAGTGAATGGATTATAACTGTTTTGCAATGCACACACTGAGCAAAAACCCAGATAGCAGGCTGCCACCAACAAAATGGGTTGTTCTGTTTAAACCTGACATTATATCGGAAGACCGATGAATTGTTTGATCCAAATGAAATGCTTGTACCTCACCTGGAGTCGTCGACGATGCAATGTGGTAACAAGAAGAATAAGATCACGACTGATTAGTCGTGCATGTTATATAAAAAATGACATTTCCACTGATTGACTTTATCATTTTTAAATGACAGCATGAATGAAATTACTTATGTGGCTATTTTTCGCTATATATGCATTATTTGAGATAATGAGTGTGCGGTACAACCATCCAATGGGAGTACTTTTGCTGTAATGGCAATTCGTAGCTTACGTTACAACTGATATTGTTTTCTTGAAAAACTGTTTATTATGTATCTAAGCGTCAACTAATATTTTATCAAAATTTATATAAGAGGAGTCCCGTTGAAAAAATGAATTGAATCTGAACTATAGCATCATAAAGAACTGATTAGCAATTTAACAGACACTTCATGATCAGTATTATTCTTGATCATTGCAGCCATCAGCCCAAAGTTGTCAACCATTTAGGGCATTACTTCCACAAGTGTCTTTGTTGCCACAGTCAGACATGTTCATGTATGATCTGTTCCAGATACACTCCAGTATTAACAGCATAACAGTTGCTAGATAAATTTTATCTCTGTCCAGTAGCATCAATAAGTATAGTAGATGGACATCACGCCAAAATATTTTATTCTCGTCACAACGCTTTTGTCTATTGCAACTAGCAATTCCAAACTTTGCCCCCATATGCAAGATTTGGCAAAGTTCAATACGTTGGTATGAAATGATAAAACATTTTTAATAACATAGTCTTGAGCCAGTATAATATCGGACAGGAATATTTATGAACAGCGCAACAGTCGGTTGATCGAACCAAACCAATCAGAGCGGAGAAAACCCATCATGCCTTTTAAAGTTGTTGTATTTATGAAAATATGCTGATGGATTCAGAATGCTCTCGATATTCTTTGAAGGATTTCCACAGGTAGTGAGAACTGTACAACTGGTGATTAATCCTTCTGCCAAACAATCTTTGTGCTCTCAAGATCGAAACGTCAGTCAAAGAGATTGCAGGCAATGTTGGGTGGGCGACGGTGGTCTGTTCGAAAGATCGAGTAATTAGAAAAGAAATTTTACGGGCAACCGGTTGATATGTGGAGGTATACTCTGCAGCAGACAGTACTCCAAAATATTCCATTCCATTCTGGATTAAGATCGATTCGGAAGTACTTTTGATATACTGTAATTATTGAAACAATGCACTATTCATATCCATCTCAAACTGCACCCATTCGACATTACTCGTGTCCAGTTTGCAGTCCCTAACGCTGCTCAGAAAGAGACTGAATTGTGTTGCGGTTAATTGCATGACCTCATTCAGAAACACGGGCTGTCTAAATGTGAACGACTGTAATGCAGAGGTCGGAAATAATAGACTGCGGCAGAAGCAGTAGGACTCAACGAGTTGGACAAGCGAACAAAGCGGATGTAAAATACAGACATCATCTGCCTCCTAAAATGTCTGACCGTGTGAAATAAACATGTTATGAGGCATGGTCAGTGGAGTAAGTACACAAGGACATACGGAAGAGTAGCGAAGAACTAAACTCATGCTAATCGAATATGCCTTGTTACGACCAGAACGAAAGAGGGTATTCAGCATTGTAAAACTGATCGTGACGCAAATTATGGTGTGGAATATTGGTACTGTAAGCAATATTGAAATATTGCCAGAAATGATTGACAACCACAGGAAAGTTGCTTCCGCCATATTCATCCAGTCTAGTGAAATATTAAATAATTCTGACGCAGTGATGTTTGGTCTGTCAAAATAACCATTGGCGTAAATGAACAGTGAGAAAGTAGCGGTTGATTGTTCACAATATGTTATTTCTGGAATGTAGAAAAAATGCGGCTTGTAAAAGAAGTATAACATGCTTTACTAGAGCAAGTTGTGTGTCGAATCCTATGCTTTAATGTAAGGCACAGCGAAATGTGTCGCCAGACCGTGCAACCACCAGGAGTCAATGCGAACTTCATGGATAGAGTCGCAATCTTACACGAAAAACCCTTTTCAGACGACTTGTGATTGTGACTGAAAAATGAGTTTCAAAATTGACTCTATTGGTAAAATACATATGGCTGTCTTCATGTTTCATTTTTGCAGCAGCCTTAAACGATACTCCAACAGTTTTCCACATCAGTTGCTAGCCAAATAATTGTCCCTTTGAAATCATGCGCCATTTGTAAAGAAGTCCTTGTTCTACATCAACCAGGGGTTCTGCGTATGCTAAGAAAAGAGCATTTTCTTCGTTTGATGGTTCAGCATTATTTCAAGGAAGCGTAGACGCATGGAGATGGAAATTAGTTATTATGATCGTTTCTCGAAGAAAAATGGATGCTTATGGCGCGACAGTTCAAACATTGGCCAAAATCCAAAAGAAACGAATGACCGCTGCTGAGTGATTCTTGGCTGGTTGTTCATGAGGTATTGTTTCAATGGTCAGCAGCATGTTGGATTTGTTGATACACAATCAATGGATGCCATGGCTCTGGTGTACTAAGCAAGAAGTGCTCTGTTCCAGCGACAAACTTTCGTGCTCACCATCCTTCACTCAGTATTCATCTGCAAAATGTGTGGAAGATTTGACATCGATTGATTGATTGTCTAATGCAAGCTCAGAAATTGTAAATGTTCATGACATTCTTCGTCTTTGTCATGTATTTTTAATTTTTCAGCTGTGACGTCACGCAATTTCTATGAAAATAAGAATCCAATTCAGGAGGACTTTTAGAACAAGTTTTCGACGGATCTACGCACTGACAATAAATAAAGATACAAATATTTAAAGCGTAAAAATTTAAATCCGCCCAGGAATCGCAATGCAACAAGAACGAAAATTTCCAAGGCTTGTAACTGAATGTATTTGGATTCTGGTATGGAAAAGAGGAAGTTAAAACATACGAGGTCCTTATTCTTTTGTTTCTTATTCTCACCCTTCTAATTTCAACATTACTACTATATGCCAAAGGGAACTGTGAATTATGCTGATTCAGCGGGATTCCATAATTTAAAAAATTAGTATCAAATTTGTAATGAAGAAATAGTCGTTGGTTACAATAGAAGTACTCGCACTGCAAGAACCTAGTGCAATTTTGGAACACATGGTTAATATCAAAATCGATAATAACAGCTTACTTATGAAAAAGTGAATTTATTTTATTTATTACAGAAGTTAATATGCGAGAGCAATACGAAACACCGTAAGAACTATGAAAGAGATATATAAATAAAGATGTTCATTGAAGAAAAGAAAGTGGGAAAAGAGAAAAGAATGAAATTTTATCCTTTCAGCTCACAATTCAACTGCGCAGGTAGTATGGAGCTGTGGCAAAATATAGATTCAGCTGATAAATATTCAAGCGATAATTTAAACCATGATATACCATATTTGCAAGGCCAAATAGAATAGAAATTAAAAATCGTACCAACTTTTGCCTCGGTGAACACATGGTGACAAACGAAAAGAGCTTATGTGAGTCATCAGATATCATGCTTTAGATACAATGATATCCGTTATTTAGCTTGCTGACGTTTACGGTGCGTCAGCCACGCAAGTCAGCAATCCTTCGGAACTCTTTTTTTTGGCCTTCATCACTGGTCAATCAACTTGAACATCAAATAGATGCTACGACAGAGTTCCGCTAAATAAATTTTGCATTCATTTCTCCTTCGTTATCGTTTGTGTACAAATCATTAGAAATTTTTAGCCCAGTTTCAGTAGTTACACAACTCCACCGTTGCCTGTCCCAAGCCCGAATGAGAAAGGACGAGGATTTGAAACCTTAGCAAAGTCTCCGTAAAGGATATCCACATGCCATTTACGGTATTGACGCCATCGAAAATCATACCGGGTCTGTCGTCGCCCGGGTTACCAAAGGCCACGCAGGCTGTTCGGGGACTGAGGCAGAAGGCGACGGCTGACGAAGACCGACGCAACGACGACGAAGACACCAGTCAGCAACGGAGTCGCTACCCGTTCTG